GGGTTCAAGCGATTCTCCTGCCTCAGCCTCCCGAGTAGCTGGGATTACAGGCACGCACCACCACGCCCAGCTAATTTTTGTATTTTTAGTAGAGACAGAATTTCGTCATGTTGGCCAGGCTGGTCTCGAACTCCTGAGCTCAGGCAATCCACCCGCCTCGGCCTCTCAAAGTGCTGGGATTACAGGCGTGAGCCACCATGGCTAGCCATATCTGATGACTTTAGAAATACCAATATAAATGAATATTTAAAGAACAAGGCCAGGTGCAGTGGCTCACACCTGTAATTCCAACACTTTGGAGGATCTGATGTCCACAGAACATGCTAGCAGGTTGATATTCATTTGTTCAAGCAACATTTGTTAATGCTAACTCTGAACCAGGCCCTGTTCTTGGCACCGAGAATACATCGGATGAAACAGATGAATTATGCTGGAGCTTCTACCTTAGTGCGAGTTTTTCTGGAAAAAGGAAATAATGCTTCAGGTATGTGGTAAGAAAAAGGCAAGTGACATAAAAAGGAGGAAAATCCTCAGCCAGGCTCAGTGACTCCTGCCTATAATCCCAGCACCTTGGGAGGCCGAGGCGGGAGGATCACCTCAAGTCGGGAGTTCAAGACCAGCCTGGCCAACATGGTGAAATGCTGCCTCTACTAAAATACAAAAGTTAGCCGGGTGTAGTGGCGGGCACATGCAATCTTAGCTACTGGGGAGGCTGAGGCAAGAGAATCCCTTGAACCTGGTAGGCAGAGTTTGCAGTGAGCCAAGATCATGCCATTGCACTCTAGGCTGGGCAACAAGAGCAAAACTCCGTCAAAAAAAAAAAGAGGAAAATTCTCCAGGGTGGAATTCAGTACAAGAAAATAGTAGAATATTGATCTTTCCTGAAGGAAAGAATATGGTTCAAAGCCAGGTCATCATTTAGGCTAAGGAATTTATTTCCAGATATAAATGAATTTAGGGATTATATTAACCATGAGCCCTTCCTGAAAAGACAGCAGGAGTACCACGCACAGTGACTCATGCCTGTAATGCCAGAATTTTGGGAGGCCAAGGCGGGAGGATCACCTGAGCTCAGGAGCTCAAGACCACCTTGGCCAACATGATGAAACCCTGTCTCTACTAAAAATACAAAAATTAGTTGGGCATGGTAGTGGGCACCTGTAATCTCAGCTACTTGGACGGCTGAGGCAGAAGAATCGCTTGAACCCAGGAGTCGGAGGTTGCTGTGAGCCAAGATCATGCCACTACACTCCAGCCTGGGTGACAAAAGCAAAACTTGGTCTCAAAGAAAAAGCAAAAAGAAAATGAACAGGAAGCAATAAACATGGCATGAAGTGACTGTCACCTAAATGTCTGTGAAAAGGACACTCGTTTAGAGCATGAGAACTGAAACAAACAAGATGGCAGAGTGTTGCTCTCTCTGACCTCAGCTGAGATGATGCATGTCCAGCAACTCAGATTTTTCACCATTCTACACATGTCCATGAATGACTGAAAAGGTTCCTCAAGTATTGATTTTGGGATTATAAATAAATTTGCACATAAGAAATCCACAAATATGGCCAGGTTTGGTGGCTCTTGCCTATAATCTCAGCACCTTGGGAGTTCGAGGCGGGCGAATCACCTGAGGTCGGGAGTGTGAGACCAGCCTGGCCAAATGGCGAAACCTTGTCTCTACTAAAAACACAAAAATTAGCTGGGCGTGGTGGTGCACATCTATAATCCCAGCTACTCGGGAGGTTGAGTGGGGAGAATTGCTTGAACCCAAGAGGCAGAGGTTGCAGTGAGCCGAGATCATGCCACTGCATTCCAATTTGGGGGACAGAGCAAGACTCCGCCTCAAAAAAAACAAAACAAAACAAAACAAAACAAAAAAAACTATGAAGGGCTGAGCGTGGAGGCTCATGCTGTAATCCCAGCACTCTGGGAGGCCAAGGCAAGTGGATTGCTTGAGCCCAGAAGTTCAAGACTAGCCTGGACAACATAGCAAAAGCCTGTCTTTACAAAAAATACAAAAAGCCAGGCATGATGGTGTGCACCTGTAGTTCCAGCTCCTTGGGAGGTTGAGGTGGGAGGATTGCTTGAGCCCAGGAAGCAGAGGCTGCATGAGCCAAGATCACGCTCCTGCATTCCAGCCTGGGCGACAGAGCAAGACCCTGTCTCAAAACAAAAAACAAAATACAAAACCAGACAATTAAACAGTTGTCTTCTTGGGAAAGGAATCTCTGTCTTCTCAAGTATGATCTCATTCCGAATTAATTTCCCCAGCATTCCTCTCTTGGGCAGATAGGTAGCAAGTGAAAGATGACATAACTTCCCCAGGCCACCTGGTGAGTCAGTTGCACAACCAGGAACAAACACCAGGCTTTACTGATAGCTAAGAAGGAGAGGCTCAGCCCTGCCCCAAGACACCTCCTGTTCAATAAGATGACTAATTAAACAAGCAATTCTGTGCTCTAGGACTTGCTCTACAAACAACTGAGCAAGTCCATGTTCCCAGGAGCATGCAACTTACAGGAAGAGGGAATGAAAGGGGCCGATGGATGGAGAAAATATTGACTGCGTGAGCATGCCTCACCACATGTGCTACTTGATGCAGCAGAGTAAAAGGAGGAATGTGCACATTTGGGGCTCAGCATTAACCACCTCTTTTCTAGGATGAGGGATTTCAAAGCCTCCTTAACTTTTTTTTTTTAAGTGGTAGAGTCTCACTGAGTATTTGTTTGCCTGAGTAACAGCAGTTTTGAGCACTAAATAGAGGATGAAGATAATTTTTAGATACCAAGAAAAATTATTTAAAATGGAAAGCTTGGCTGGGCTTGGTGGCTCATGCCTGTAATCCCAGCGTTTGGGAGGTCGAGGAGGGCAGATCGCGAGGTCAGGAGTTCAAGACCAGCCTGGCCAATATAGTGAAACCCTGTCTCTACTAAAAATGCAAAAATTAGCCGGGCGCGGTGGCTCAAGCCTGTAATCCCAGCACTTTGGGAGGCCGAGGCGGGTGGATCACGAGGTCAAGAGATCGAGACCATCCTGGTCAACATGG